TCTCTGTAGTCGGACTACGACGACTACGACGACGACGACTACTAGTGTTACTGCTGCTCCTGCTGCTGCTGCTACTACTGCTGCTACTACTACTACTACTACTTCTACTTCTACTTCTGCTACTACTATTACTACTACTACTACTACTACTACTACTACTACTACTACTAACTACTGCTTCTTCCTCTTTCTGCATGCTCGGAGGCTCCATGGGCTCCTGAGCCGTTTGGGGAGCGAGCAGCGTCGGCGGATCTTCTCCCGCCTGACGCAGGCGAGGTGGAAATTCTGGGGTCTTCGGACACATACTTGCAGTTTCTTGCAGTGCAAGGTTGATTTGTGAGCAATCTGCACAGGCACAACGCCAGAAGCTAGAACAGTGCCTTCTGGCCAAGTGCGAAGTTCAGCGGAGGAACTGGTGTCGTGGCAACATAGCCCTTTCAGTGCTGGGGCTTCTACAGTAGGTGTGGCCGTGCTGCTGGGACAGCCTGCGTGTGTACGAAGGCAGAGGTCCACGTCGTGACTTGTTCATCGAAGCAGCGAGCAGTAACACTAGGCATTGACATTGCTACAGTACACACGACGTCTGACGTCAGCCTCTGGTATACTGCGCCACTCCTGCTCGAGCGGCCACGGTACACCATTGTGCGGAAGTAGCAGGAATTGGAGCATCCACCAGCTATAGGAAGCATGTGGGGATGAGTCATGCAATCGTGTCGGCGCTAAGGCAAGGGGTCACAGTCGTCGCGAGATCATGCGATGAGGTGCGCAGCAGAAATAGGGGCACACAGAGTCACAAAGGATCGTCAGCCGAAAAGCGATGCACGATATGGAAGGAAAGAGATCCCGGGAGGAGATGGAGCCCACTGCGAAGAGGTGTCACACTGTTACACCCTGCCTTTTCTTGGGTCCGTGACTGTCGCTTACTGCAGGCCATGGTCCATCCGATTGGAGCCGTGCCTTGTGCCAGCCACATTCAGAAAAGGTGTGGTGGCAGCCGCAGAGCGCACGGAGCACACTCTGAGTAGCCTCGCAGGCCGGCCATGCGCAGAGCCAGGGAGTCTACAAACGCGTGGTTGCAGGCTTGTGGTGCAGTGCAGGACTCGGAAGCTCAAGACCTAAGCTTATCCTAAGCTTCCCCTGAGGACACACCAGCTATGAAGCCACCTGCCGAACTGGGCCTTTTAACTTGAGCACGAAGTGGACGAGAAGCTGGGAAGCCGCAGAAAGGTTTGCCAAGGCCTGGTTGAGGGGGAGTTGCTGCATGGGGAGTGTGGCACAGGGCTTTTACGTTTTCTGCGCAGGTCCTGAAAGGAATAAGAAAGCGGGTCCTCCAGTCAAGTGCAGAGATCGAGGCCACAAGGAAACGCCAAGTGCGGTGCTGATCTTGTCTTTGATGGATTCGCAGGTGAGTTTCAGAGAAGCCATCGCCGAAGAGCTGTGGCAAACTGGCCTCAAAGCCCGCGAGGCTGGGGCCCTCATCCAGTCACGCCATCCTGCCGCTGCTTTTTTGGAACGTACTTGCGGAGGATCTCAACCTGGCCTTTGTCGTGCGTATCGGCGCTCGATACTGGGCGCGGGGCGCACTCATGTCTTCTCTCGGAAGCCGCAGAAAGCAGCCTTGCTCCTCATAGGTCGGGAGGTCTTTGGAGAGTCCGCGCTTCGCTGCCAGTGGCTTGGACCTCGAGCGGGGCCTCAGCGCTTTCCGCCGTCTCCGACAGGCGCCGGCCCAACACAGACAACCACCACTGTACACACAATAGTACGTAGACGGTGTAGACTCTCCGAGGCTCGTGGTGCCGTCTTTGAGGGGGCTTGCAACGAGCTGTCCCTGCTCATGAAGCACAGCCCAGGCAGACTGATATTGAAAAGACTTGTTCGTGATGAATGGTCAGGGTACAAAGCCGGACTTATCATCGCCTGTTTGCGTGCGGTCCCCTGCGTGCGGCTATCGGCATCTCACCGAAGGCGAGTTGAGCGACGCCTGGCAGCGTCTTCGCATGGTGTACCTGGATATCTGGGAGCAAGCAGGCCAGAGGCTTGAAAATGCCGGAAATCACAAGCAGTACCTGCCCGCGCTGACCTGTTTGCATGTTGTCGTTCGCGACAACAGCTCCTACTTATGTCCTACTTGTGTTTGGCTGTGAAAGATGCAGAGGGAGGACGTCTGAAGTGGCCAACCGAACGGGCATTAAGTGGAAACGACAGAAGTGGCCGAACACGAAGAGGAATGAAGAGGAGGAGAGCTGTTCATCCACCAGGTCACTCCCGCGAGCGTGTTGCTCGTCGCCTGGATTCTCTGGAGGCCCAGAGTCCAGAGTGTCTGCTCTCTGTTTTTGTGCCGGCTTGGATGTGTTGACTAGACTCTTGTCCTGGCATCGAGCAATGTCTTCGCAGGTGCAGTGTTAAATTGGCATGTTTTGTGCTCCCAGGCAAAGCAAAAGCCTCGGCGCTTGCAGGCTCTGAGGCGCTGGCGTCAGGCACTCGGTAGAACAGGCTCTTAACTGGAACTGGGAGGTAGTTACACTTCCATCGAGATGCACTAATGTTACCAGTGGCAGCGAGACAGACGGTGCACGACGCACAGGTGCCCGACGCACGCAGATGGCAGCATCGAGGACCTGTTGGGAGGGGTCGGTGCAAAGAAACATGGTTTTGAGACGCTGGCGCAGGTACAACCAGTCCGTCACATAGTCTGTAGTTCGCACAGATTGAGGAGGCAAGCTTGGCCGAAGTCTGGTCGAGCCTTGGCCGGCTCAGTTCACGAAATTACCCAACATCCTGCAACAGCAGTCTCTAGAAGACGGCCAGCAAGCAGCAAATCGAAGGGCCTGTGTCACTCAGGGCTGAGGGGTGGGAGTGAAGCCCTACAAGCACGCTGCGAGCGTCTCTTGGAGCTCCTTGGCTGGAAAGGCGGCTGCAGCTTCAGTTCTTGCGTGAATCATCCCGTACTAGACCCACCACAGTCTTCAGGAATCCGTTCCTGTAAACGCTTCCGTCATCCTCAGAAGCCCCTGACCCCTGTGGGCCAAATATGCGGTACGAATTTGGCATGGAGCCGAGGCAGTGGTGGACCAAGACGTGTCGTAAGTGCTGCGGCGGAGTAGGCCAGCCGACAGCCCAGAAGAAGGCAAAGATCACTGGTTGTGGGATGACACCTGTAGGCGTTTGCATGTGATTTCCATGCCTTCGGCCGAGAAGCCAGCTGGGCTGTTGGGTGTGAAGCAGACAGGGCTTTTTTGGGAAATTACTCCAGTCCAGTCAGAAGGGGCACAGATGGGGGCGCTTGACCCTCCATTCTGGTGCAGCTGGCTCATTGAACCACTTGTGCAGTATGGCGGCGCTGATGCTGCGAAAGCTCAGTGCTGTCGTTTGCCGCCGCCCAGCTGTGGCACTTGTGGGCAATGATGCTCTCATGTGTGAGCCGACCCGAGAGACGTGTAGACCACGACCACACTGTATCACGCTGTACCACGCATTTGCAGTGCGAAAGGCCAGCTCCATGACAGTTCCATCTCGCGTTGCATTTGCAAATGTGCTGTGGTGACAGCTTGTCTTGCTATCGTGTTGTGCAGTCGGTGCATCTTCTGCAGCAGCCAGCTGTCAACAAGTGGCTTCTGGGGGTTCATGGACAAAAGTGGTAGACCGTCAAGTCTGACTGTCTCACAAATGAGAAGCACAAAGTCCAAAGTTACACCACGTTGTCAGACAGCTTCTTCCAAGGATGATCCTAAATTGGATGTGCGGATTCACGCCGTGGAGGCCATACTGAGCCATGCATGCCTACCCCCCGCCGTACCAAGCAAGCCGCGCGAGGAGCTGCAGCCTGCTGCGAAAGCTAGTAGAGCCATTGAGGTCATGTGCATGCTGCATGCTAGAGTAGTGATCCTATGGCCGACTGTGCGCGCACGTTGCAAGCACGCCATTGCGTGTGGCTGGCTTTCTGGCTTTCGGCCAAACTAGAAACTGCACAGAGATTTCTTCTTCTTCTTCTCTCACATTTGTTGTGATTTCCATGCCGTTTCTAATTTAGCCCGATTGCGCTGGTTCCCGTCATGGATGCTTGTTCTCGATTTTTGCAGTGCCACTACTACAATTTCTTTCATCAATGTGAGGAGGATTACAGCGATGATTCCGCATACATCAATAAGTATGTATGGCACGCGCACCTGTAAGCAAAAGCACTTGCATCGCTGTGGCGATTTGGGTGCCAATCTGATTGCCGACCAAGTCTTGAAGACGGTGCCAGAAAAAGTGCTCATGCTCCTCAAACTTGGAGGCACTTGAAGCTGTCTTGGTCTTGTTTAAACGATTGTCTACTTGCAAGCCGTGTCGTCAATGCAAAACTGCGCCGCACCATGCCACACCCGATGACTGATCTACTCTCGGCAGTCTGGGCACAGGGTGTGGATGCTGTAGAATTGCATGGTGGAGCTATGGAGACAACCTGGGGCAGTGCAACGCTTTGCAACCTTCGTCAGGGGAGCGCAAGCCTCCAAGACTTCACCCTACATCTCTGCCGGAATCTCTGCCAGAAGTTTCGGCAGGCCTCCCAAACCAGGCTATCACGTCGAGATTGACTGAACTTGAACTCGGGATCCGGCCCAACAGCCCCAAAGGATCCTAAATCTGCTAGGGCAACTGTAAGGTGAAGGTTAAGAAGTTGACGAGAATCTTTACAAGCTTAGGCTAAAGGCTTGAAGCGCCGCAGCCGGGTGAAGGGTGGAGTCGGGTCAACGAACAAGGATGTGTGGTCAAATGTCTGTGTGACCGGCTGTTCAGAACGAGTAGATTGCATCGCGCGAGAACTAAACCCGTTGAAGCTCCGCCTCCCTTCTACTGTACTGGTTGCAGGAGCCGGAGCAGAAGCAGAGGAAGGCATGGCATCGTAAGGGACAGGAGATGTGCGCAATGGTCAAGGGAGGAGGGACAGTTTGCCAGGTATCACCACGGCTATCAACCTCCTCCAGCTTACGCGGCTCCTCCTGGCTACCCAGCTCATGTGGTAAATGGAGGGCCTCCACCGCAGGCACCGCCCGGGTACAGCCAGCCTCCACACGCGTACCCGCCTCCTGAATATCCGCCGCCTCAAGCAGGCCCTCCACCTCAGTACGCTGCACCGCCAGCAGACCCATATGCGGCTCCCCCACCTGCTGCCCGGGATCCTTACCGTGACCCTTATCGAGATCCGTATCGCGATCCCTACCAAGATCCGTACAGAGAACGCGATCGGGACCCTTACCGGGATCCATACAGGGACCCATATCGGGATCCGTATGCTCCACCACCTAGTGCCCCGCCACCCAGTGCTCCCCCACCCAGTGCCTACCCGCCAGCACACGCTTATGGCGCCCCACCAGCAGCATACCCGCCACCAGAGTATGCAGCACCACCCCCTCCTGGCTACAGTCCTCCACCGCCCAGCTACGGTCAACATCCCCCACCACAGAGCGCCCCGCCCCCAGCGGCTTATCCTCCGGCAGGATATGCTGCACCACCACCGATGCACTATCCCCCACCAGCGGCTTATGGAGCCCCGCCTCCGGGATACTATCCTCCGCCACCCCACTACCCACACCCCCCACAGCCGGGCTACGGGGCACTGCCGCGACGGAGCCGATCCCCCGGCCGACTTCGTTCTCCGCAACGTGCCTCGGCATAATGCTCCGTCCTTGACCGCACCAAATAAAGGGCATGTCAATGTCATGTGTTGTGCTGCCAGGACTACGCCGGATGCTGAAGCGGCCTGAGCGGCCTGAACGAAAGGCCAAAGCAAAACCAAAGGCAAAGGCGCAGGAGAAGAAGCCCCCTCCGGTTCCTGGCTTGCAATGGCTCGCAGGAGAGGAAGCACCTGACTCCTCACAGCGGTCGAACTGAGGTCAAGGAGGACGGCTCAGCAATGACTCCCAGAGAGCTCTCCGACGTCAAGGAAGCAGAGGCAAAGGCCAAGCGCGAGGCCAATCCGGAGGCAGCGGTGTGGAAACAGTGCGAGCATAGGAAGCCAATGTTGCTAGCTTTCTTTCGAGGCCACACGGGAGGAGAAGCCTCTGCAACTACTCGTGGAGAGAGCAGCGAATCCAAAGAAACTGGTTTGATGTGAGGGTCTGTTCTTCATGGCGCCGGATGTCACAGAAAGCCTGGAACCACGATCTCAGAAGCACTTCCTGGATCCAAGGAGCTGGATCCCTTGCATCGAGGATGTGCATAATCGTGCTTGGACGCTTGGTTCTTGCGCATTTCTAGAGTAGACCACCAGAGCTCGGAGTTCAGAGCTCTGATCCCCTGTGCAAGGGTTTTTGCCTTGGTAGTTGGATTTTCGCAGTTGCAACGGGCAAGCCCAGGATGTACATGTGCCAAGAGAAGAGTATCACGCAACAAGATTTCTTGGACCTGAAATCAAAAGTGGATTGGTTGGAAATTCACGGAGCATCAGCAATGACGCGCAAGACGATGTGGCTGGTGGGTGAGGGCTGCAGGCGGCTTGGGGTCCTAGGAACGTGCTCTTCAGGAGGCTTTCCAAGTGAGGCAGTTCTCCGACAATGTGCAGGTGTCCCTACAACTACGGCCAGCAGCAGGTCAATGCGATGACCTTTCCGGATTGGTTCATGGTCATGGCCAGGCGGTGGCTGGAATGCCTCAACTTGAATGGCGAGGACTGCAGCCCTGCAACACCATTACAGACTGTCACGCATGCTTCCCTACATTCCAGCAGGACAAGGATGGGAGGTTTCCAGATTGCGTGAACCTGAACCTGTACGAGACGGGTGACCACCAGGCTTCAGTACTGCTTTCCGGGCAATCACTCACTCACTCCCGATTTCATTCTTATTTGCTACGGACAATTGCACGGAAGGTGTCATGGCATTCGGATGACGAGCCGCTGTTTCGGGGGAAGTTTCAGGACCGCGCCAGCGGTTTGGCTCGCCACTGCATGTGTGAATTGGCATCGTGCTTCCAGGACGCCCGGATCATCTCAGTCACACTGGGAGCGATGCGCAAGTTCCAGGTGGGTCTCAAGGCGCCCAGAAGAGGCGCCCAGGGTCTCATCGGTTCGATGACGAGGCTGAGGCTGAAAAGGTTTCATGCGGCCAGGCGGCATCTTGAAGCCCGAGAGGGGCAGCGTGTGCAACTTCAACTTGGGCCACGGCCAAATCTGCACCATGGAAGGTGCCTTCGAATGCTCCACTTGCATGCTGGTAGCAGCAACGAAGTGCAAATAACCTTGCCGGAGTTGCTGGAATTTGCAAGCTACTTCACCCCTAGCCCCTATCCCCCACGCTGCTTGGCGAGTCCCGATGCAGGACTCTTCCAGAAGCACTACCTGCACCAGATTGCCAAGGGGACAACACGCCAAGCTCGCATCAATGCCACTTTCCGGTACATCCAGGAGCATGCAGAGGGCTGCCCCCTGAGGCGAAAGAAAGCTTGAGGCGAGCACTTGGAAAGGTCTGTTGGCTGCGGCAGTGCGCGAGAAGGCAGAGCCTTTGGACGCCTGTCAGCTCCTTCCAAGCACTTTTCAATCTCATCTCCAGCCCTTCACAAATCAGAGAAGGTGTCTTGTGCAGCAGTGCGGCAGCTCCAAGAGGGAGATGCTGCAAAATGGGCCCTTGGCCAGAGTTTGGAGGCTGCGAATGTGGCAGCCCCAGAGTTCCCGGAAGCTTCCTGTGCATTCGTCACTCTGGCTTGGAGGCTGGCATAGGATGCTTTTATAGGGCTTAAGAACAGAACGTCAAGGCATGTCAAAGCAACGCACCATGGGCCAAAAAACAACCGCGACGTGCCCTGTTGCAAATCTGCGTCTCGAAGATTCGGTCCGACCACTGCTTAAGGCCTAGGATTGAGGGTTTGGGGCTTTGGTTTTGGGTTAAAGGTTCGGAGGGTTTCCGGTAACCTCAAGCCCTAAACTCGAAGCCTTGCCTGCCTTGAGCGAGTGTGAGTCGAACCTCGTAGCCCTGAAACCTGCGAAACCTGCCGACGCCACATGAACACATTTTCTGTTGCACTAGTTGGATGTCCCTCAGAGGGCCCTCCGAAGCAAAGCCAAGCTTAACCCAGAACGTGGCCAAAGAACTGCTGCCCAGGCGCCTCCTGCAGGAGTCGAAGCAGCGGCTGAAGCACCAGCGGGCACACGCCGTGCATGCCTTAGGGTTTCATTTGATTTGAACACGGCGCCGGATTCCGCAAAGAAGGGCAAAACCTCTCAGTCCTCAGCCCTGAGGTGGTTGAGGTAGCGTTATCGCAGTGGGAGAAGGGACAGACGAAGGGCCTTATGGACCCCAGCTCAGTATTGGGTCGTGGGATGTGGCACGTATGCCTAGCTGCAAGAGCTCAGGCCGTCGTCGTCAAAGACTGGCACAAGTATGTTGAGGTCCTTGGTCCTGCAATCCAGGATCGCAAACGAAGCTTCGGCCAGATGCTGACCAGGTCACGGCGTCAAACGGCCGCAAGATCCGTGGGGTCCTGGACTTGGAGTGGTAACGAGAAGTTGAAGCAACTGGTCAGCGGCATTTAATCCCCAAACTAGTCCATACGTAGGAGCCGGGAACATAAAGTTCTTTTCATGTCTGGTTCGAGGCCGGAACGTTGGAGGAGCGCAGACTGAAGGTTTGCATCATCGGCATAGCTCAAGAAGCTCGAGGTAGTTGAACCAAAGCGTGACGGTCCTGTTTCGTCCCGAAAGTTCTTGAAGCGAGGAGAAGCTCCTCCTGGCGACCTTGAGATTGTGCCTGCACGGCACGGGGCCCTGGTCTGTCAGCACTTGAGTGCGCGAGCCGTGAGCATGATTTGCCTGGGCCGCCTGAGCCGATTCCCGAGGATGGCGAGGCCACCTCGACATCAAACACGCTCGAACCAGCGCGAAGGCCCCTGGGAAGACAACCTGTGAACGAATCACATCCAAAGTGAGCAGAAAGAATAAGACAAGACATATGTTGCTGGTAGTGATGAACAACAGGAGCTTCGCGAGAGTCTGGACATGCAGAGGCCGGACCTGGCTGATCTTGCCAGGCTGTTGGCCGCATTGATTCGCAGGTATTCGAGAGAATCATCTCACCAACTGGGGTTTTATTCTTTCAGGCATCGATGGACCATGGCGACGTCTCTTTTGCGATAGATGTCTTTGTCCCAACATGCCAGATAGCATAGCAGTGCCGGAGCTGCTTCCATACAGACTAGGCCTTTAAGTGATTACTGCCGAAGGGCGCAAGTTTGACCCGGACATACCCGGACACACAACCATCGTCTCCGAACATGGTCTTTGCAGCGTTGTGCTGCAGGCTGAACTTGGAACCGGCCTCAGCCAAGACAGGCGCCGCTCTCCACACGAACGGGCCCGCCGTGCCGCAGCCGAGGTCTTTGCGATGTGGCGCCTCTGCAACTTGGAGGAGAAGAAAGAGCAGGCGGGGACTGGTTTTGATCGAAGCCTTCCCATTCTTTTCTCGGGGCAGGCTTTCGGGCAAGTCGCCGAAATAAGCGCTATCGCCTTCGAGCTCCAGCAGGTTCGGACGCGTACTGTCCTGCTTTGTGGATCTCTGGTCTTTTTTACAAGCACCTGGTACCAAGGCCCAGACATCCTTGCTGGAAGACAAGATCCTGCTAGAAGGCAAAGTAGAGAAGGCTTGGATGCAGCAGTGCGGGACGTTTTTGTAAAACTCCTTTGCGCGATGCGAGGCCTTTGAGGCCCTCCAGAAGGAGCTTCAGACAAAGGAGGCCTGTGGACCCGAGTATGTTCGTCTCCGTGTTCCAGATGGGCTGCAAGAATGTGTGTGCAGGAGTTGGCAGCTGAGCTTCGGGAGGCATACAGCAAGCAGGCCGACATGAGAATTGCACCTCCGCCATCACGACGGCGCACAGCCTTGACTATGTATGACGCTGCGACGTGTAAAGATCCACTTTTGGAGTGACTCGCCTTTCCGAACGCGCAAACTTCGGTTGACTGGATGATACTGTCTGTCTAGTGCAAACGGACATCTAAGAAAGTCACTCTTTCTGTAGTGTCGACAAATTCCCGCCGAGATGCGTGTTCTAACTTCATCCTCCTTACCGATGTGTTTAGTGTTTTGATCCGATTTGGTCGGTTGTTTATTGTGGCGAAGCGGTTTTGAGTTGCAGCACTGTTGCCGGTTGCAGCATAGTAGCGCGACGCGGGCGTTTTGTGGTTAGAATAGAAGCGTCTGAATCTTACTTTGGCTATCAGGGCTTCGGAGGTCAAGGGTCCCTTTTGACTGCTTGCTAGAGCTGCTTCTGCTGCTGCTACCGCTGCTGTCCTGCTCCTGATGCTCCCTGGTCGTTGCGCACTGTACTTACGATGTGACCGTGGGTCAGCTCCTGACTTGTGGAGGTATTCTAGGACTGCTAAGTGGTGGAGTCGGCTTTCATCATGGTCGCTGAGTGTGCCAGCCTGAACGTTTTAGTCGAATGTGCTGCATGCTCGTTGAGACCTGACTTGCCACCGCGAAGATGCCAGAGATGCTAGGCTAGCTACGGCTATTGCCATTGCTACTACGACTGATACAACAACAGCAGCAAGTAGTGTAACGGCAACAACAGCAACAACAGCAACAACAACTGCAACAACGTACTGCTACTGCTGCTACTACTGCTACCGCTACCGCTACCGCTACCGCTACCGCTACCGCTACCGCCACCGCCACCGCCACCGCCACTGCCACTGCCACTGCGACTCCGACTCCGACTCCGACTCCGACTCCGACTCCTACTCCTACTCCTACTCCTACTCCTACTCTTACTCCTACTCCTCCTACTAGTACTAGTACTA